TGCATGCATACATACATACAGATATGTATAATGCACATACGCACACACGCGAATACGCACACACGTGCAATACAAATTTCTTCGCAGCGCCGTGTACATTTGTACATGCTCCGGGTTTCTCTGCGTTGCTTTGCGTTATTTTGCTTTGTTTTTCTTGCTTGTCTTTCTTGTTTGATTGCTTGATTCAGGATGCAAACGAGCCCCGGCAGGCAAACATGCACAACAACCAAAAACCAAGAACGCTGACTAATAACAATGCAAATCTCCCTCCAAGCCTGGACAGAAATGTGCGCAATGTGACTATTCCAATGGCACCCAAGGCACCATGACTTGCTGCGGGTGGCCAATTTGAAGGAGCGTGTCGAGGAGCTACTTTGAGCACTGTCGGCATCTTTTGATGGACCGGTCGAGGCATTTTGGGGTGGGGCCCCTGATATGCTTGAGCGCCATGAGCGATGGAAGCCTCGAGGCTTCTCGCGTGCCCGCTGACGGGCTTGTCGAGCGGCCTCTGCACTGCTCCGCGCACGCTCCTGCAAGGCAGTCTCAACCAATACCATACACTTCCGAAGCGCGGTCTCTGTGGTGGACATGACAAGCTCATCCAGCTTCTCCATGGAGACGGTTGGCATCTCAGCGCCAAGAATCCTGTCTGACACCTCTGCATGCAGGTTCCATGTGGGCCTTTTTTACATGGACACCCCCTTTGCTTGCCTGCGCTAATCTCCCGAACAGTTTCAACTTGTCCCCTGATCTCCCCTAACTTCCCGTGCCTCAACGATGAGAGGTGCAGGGATCTTGGATGCAGGCGGCTGTATCACGGGCTCATCGTCACCATCTGGAGCCTTGGGAACTACATCCTTGGGAAACATACACTCAGAATAGACGTCGTGAAAATCATCTCCCGTTGATGTGTATGTAAAGCTCGAGGTGCTCGAATCTCGCTTTTCAGGAGCGCTTTGAAGTGTGAAGAGGGTGTTAATCATGCTTTGCATTTCGGACATGCGGTCCGTGAGTGCTTCGTGATTTTCCAGGACAAGTGCATACAACTCCTCTTGCTGGTGCAAAGATCGCATGACGTTGTACTTGATGAAGCGGGTAGCTGTCTTGGAATCGTGGACCCAACGACTCAATGGTGCGACAAACTCTGACAAGTGGATTTGGCCCTCCCCGGTTGTGTCGATCATCTCAAAGAGCTGTTGCAAGTCGGCCTCATCAATATCCATGACTCGAAGCCGGCTTTGAAATTGCGGGTCCTTACGAGCACCATTAAGTAGCTCATCAAATGTAACTTCTCCGCTCCCGTCCGTGTCAATGCGCTGGAAAATTTCCTGCAACGTCTTTACGTCGCTGGCAAGGTTAAACTCGAGCTCCTCGGCCAGATTCAATACATCCCTCTGGCGAGCCTCCGCAAAGGTGTCCACCACAACCGCCACCTCAAATCCGTCACAAGTTTACGTAATGGTTGCAGCACCTGCTTCCCTGAAGCCGTGCCTCTTGCCCTTGGGCGCTACACTGACTGATGCGGACGATTCATCCATTAATGTTTAGAGTTGATAGGGATCTTGTCTCTATTCTATTCTATTCTCCGGGATCTCTCTCTCTCTCTCTCTTCCGGGCCATACACGCGGACCCCGCGTGTCTCAGGATCTTTGCTGATGACCGACGAGCTCGCGGGTGGACACCAACAAGATCCACAGGGAGGTCGCATCGATTTCTCTTTTCCGACGCTCTTTTGAGGCAGTCTGTTAGGGACCACCACACACCCTCTACATGTAGTCCAGACTCTGTCAACTGCAAGGCCCGTTCTGCCCCACCTGAAACAGCGAATCTGTGGAAGGCATGCCTGCGGTCCCTCTGAATGCCCTTTAATTTGGGCGGTGGCTGATTGAAGCCAACGATGCATGCATGAATACATAAATACTGCCATTCCTGCAGACATACAGGCATGCAGACCGATATAGATGCAAACGTATGTAGACATATACTACCCACATACATACATGCCTACCACCGTTATACCTGTGTAGAATGGCTTTCATACCTACATACAACTCTCGACGCGCCAGCTTTGCGAGAAACTTCGGTCGCGCCCAAAATCTGAGAAATGCAACTTGTCGCGCAAGGGCTATTGCAAAAACAACTCTGGCCGCACACTTTTCAGTCGAGAGCTGCCGTTTTTCAGCAACAAGATTTTGAGCCACCCCCCTGTGCTTATGCTTGTTGTGCCTTTGGGCGACATGCGCGAATGGAGACACTGTTTCGTAGATACGAGAACGATGCACGCACACACAGCAGGAAGCATTCATCGACTTCCTGAGTTGCTGCTGGCAACCGCTTGCACCATCTCGTGCCATCTAATTAGTATTTAGTTCTGCAAAGTGCCGCAGGAGACTAAGCTCGGGACGATGAGGTTCAGAACGCCGAACACCAACGTCAGCAGCGAGCCACAGAAAATGATTGCTGTGGCTGGATGCTGGCGGATTATAGGCACAGCGATCTTACCCCAGCTGTCCCCGGCAATCACGGTCTTGAACAACAAGAGATTGGCTTCCATTACAGCAGAGGTAGACAAAACACAATCCGGGCAGTCATGTGCAATATTGGGCATGTCTCCGGTGTCCATTCTTTCGATCTCCTTCATGATTGGATGAACGAACTCGACGATCAACATGCCCCAGACAGTCATTATCATGAAGCAAAAGACAAACGACCAAAACAATGCTTTCAAGCATGTAGCCATCATGCGCACCAGCTTCTGCAATTCTCGGAACGCTCGAAGGCGTTTAAGCAGCCGAGCCAGTCGAAGGACCCGGACCATTCGCAGAATGGGAACAAACCCGATGTTGAGCATGACATCAGCCGCAAAGTTGTGAAGAAATAGTTCGGTGTAGCCAGCAACAATAATGAACATGTCAAGCCGCAACATCCAGTGCCGGAAAGCCTGCCGCACCCCCTGCACTATGCAGGTAATGATTACTTCTCCTGTGTACAGACCCAAGCACACGTTGGACAGAAGAGGGTATATTCTGGGAGTCATTTCTTCACCGCTGGCTCTGTAATCGATATCCACAATCGTACAAAAAGCATCTGCCAGGATGACAATGGTCATCAAGTTAGCGACATAAACACTTCGCATAACTCGATTCGCCTGCCTCCTTTGCGATGCCCACTTCGCATCATGATGGGTCTCTTCCTCCTTGCTGGCTTTGATGAAATTGCTGCTGACAGATATGCTGACATTTCTCCGCTCTGCAGATCTCTCTGCCGGCGAGGGGATGCTTCTGTCGCTGACTATAGATTTGGGGCTGGCTAAATCAATCGCCAAAGATCTCGGACTGGCTGAGTCTGTAGCCATTGCCGCGGAAAACTTGCTTCTACACCGTGTCACGCTTGAGAAGGTTACTGTCGTGGCATAGTGCACTGCTTGACACCGCATCAAGCGCATTCTTGCTTTCCGCCATCATGTGCCTGACACAAACATGGACCGCAAACTGCTGCGTTTCGATCGCGAGTTGTCCAATCCACACAGCGGTCGTGACCGCATGGCCGGCGATGTAACCCCTCTTCGAGGACTCACACCATGGCAGCCAAGGACAGTCTCAGCTGCCCTCATTCAACGAAGCCTGGCGGATCAACGATGTACGGTTGACAGGCCCGGCCAGGTGGCCAGGAACATGGACACCGATGCAGCCGCAGCCACATCACAATTAGTCGGGAATCACCATGCAGCACCCAAGGAATGCTAGCTATGACAACTAGAAACGATACGTTGCAAGCAAGATCATGGCTGGCAACCTCGAAACGGTCCCTCTGGAAAATGCTGACCCGGTCAGCCTTATTGATAGGACTGTATCTTTGCCTTCGACAAAGCAGTCCAAGACACTCACGGGTCTCTCGTGAGGGACCTATGCCTGTGTGAGACGCTGTAACTGACATTTAATGACGGTAAACACAGGCCGTGTATTTGGGTGCAAAAGTGGGCAGCCATGCTTTGTCTGCTTCACACCTGTTTTACTGCAATGTGTCTGTCGAAAAGCAAAGTTTGTTGGAGCAAGCTTGTCCGCCTTTAACAGGGCCGTAGCCTGGAAGATGCATGTCAAGATCAGTTGCTGCTCAGGCGACGTTTCTGATTCGGTGAAGGCCTTGTGCAAAGTTACGAAGCAGGCTCTTGCAGCACGAGATGAATTGAGCGGCTACACCGTTACGACATGTCTTCCAGAAGCATGGGACTTGCCGGGTCCCTCCTTCAGCAAAGCTCTCCATAATGTGTTCTGTTCTGCTGAGGCACTCGGTCGGTTGAGCTCGCGAAGCGTGAAGCTTTCGTAACGCCCCAACATCAATGCTGGCAACAGGGTCATGCCTGCCAGGAGTGCTGTGGTGTCCCAAGGTTGAACTGCACATCCGTTTCATGTCTGCGTTCGATTTGTGCTCTGCGCGGCAGTTTCAGGCCCCTGCCTTCGCCACGTGCTCGTGTCGCGACTGTCACCACCATCATCTGAATGAGAGACTCGCCTGCGCAGGATTCGCAACCAGCATATCCAACAGCTCGACTCTTTAAGCGAATAGCGCGCAAACATGGATGAATGCGCCTCCATCGCTCGGAGATGGCCTCTGTTGGTTGGCCGGCACCTGGAGCGTTGAAGAAGCCCACCGGCCGCCTTTGGAACTTGAACTTCGGGGCCGTCGCCGGCGCCGTCGGGAGAGCTTTGGATGCTAGAGACAACCCGGACGGACCGGGACCGGGAGGAAGTTCCTCCTTGGAGCCTCCTCGGCTTGCATGCCTGTTTCTTTCGAAGACGTTCTTTTCCAGCTCTGGAATTGTTGGAACACGCCTTGAGCTGCGCTTGTGCCTGGGCTGCAGAGGGCCTGCTTTGCTGTCCTTCAAGGCAGTCTCCACCACGGCCTCCAAGCTGCCCATCGCAAGCTTCAGCGCCTCCTGTGAGGTTTTCGCCGAAACAGCAAAAGCCGGCATTATCGGAAAAAAAGAGCACCAGCACAGCATAGCACAGCAGACCTTTAAGCACGTTCTGAGTTCTTTTGGGAGGGCGTGGCCAGGTGGGGCGCGGGGGTCGAACAGGATTTGTGCCAACGTCAAAGGGTTTTGGACCACCCTCCACAACCTCGTGAACTTCGAGCGGCCAAGGCCTATGCTTTCAAGCGATACAGACACTCTCAGTAACGGGAAAGTCCTGGCCAGCAAGCAGATATCAATTATATAATATGCAAAGAACAAAAGCGACTTGAATCGGCTGGCCTGGAATTCTGATGATCCTTGGCGAACTCCAGCCTGGACTTCTGACTGACTGCCCAACACAGCGGGTTTTGATGCATGGGGCTGCTCCACTTCAGCATCCACTTCATGCGCTTCTGCAAGCTCTGCACCCCCATCTGCACACTCCATTTCCTCCGTCATGAGCGACCGGAGGGACTGGAGGCCGGTGCTACCAAGGCCCGCCTGGGCCAGGATGCCGATAGGACCAGGAGCGACTCTCGCCAAGGAATCCGACAGCTCCTGGATGCGAGTATCTAGGATGTCAAAATAGCTTTTGGTCAAATCGTAGAGTTCTTCCTGCTGAGTAAGTGATCGAAGCACGTTGTACTTGATGAAGCGGGGTGCCGTCTTCGAGTCGTGTACCCATCTGGTCAAGGGAGCAATGAATTCGGCTGCAGCGATCTCGCCCTCGCCGTTTACGTCGATCATTTCGAACAACTGCAACAAGTCACTCTCGTCGATGTCCATTACCCGCAGGCGACCTCAGAGTTTGATTGTGTGGCAGGGACATTTGCATCTTGCTGTTCGGCTCACAGTGGCCGCAAAAACGTCTTGCATCTTGCAGCAGCTGCAGTGCAGTAGCAGCAGCAGCAGCAGCAGCAGCAGCAGCAGCGTGGTCATCTTTGTCATCTGGCTATCACCATGATCACCGTCAGAGTCGTAGTCACCATCACCATAAACAGCCGCAACAGCAGCAGCACCAGCATCATCAGCATCACACATTCACCTCTGCAACAAAAAGAGAATCGAAACTGCAAGCACATTCGTAAAGAATAACGGCAGCAACAAGAACAACAGCAGCAGCAGCAACAGCAACAGCGACAACAACAGCAACTGCATCACAATGGCAAGGCCACCATTAACAAGAACATTAACATCAACAATAGCACTCACATGAACATTAGCAGCAACAAACTCGACAAAATAGAACAGCATCGACAAGAACACAAACAGGATCAACAAAATGCATACTCACTCACACGCCACAAGAAGGAAACGTGCAAAAACAAGAATAAGAATACATCCAACAACATTAACAACACCAACACGACCAACACAACCAACACCAACATCGCTTCAGGTAAACGGGAAAGAAGCAGGTTAAACTACGTACAACGTGCCGTTGGCACCTCTTTGCTTGTGAATCTTGGGCCCCAGGCTCTGAAACTCAGGATCTTTACGTGCCCCCTCCAGTAGCTCGTCAAAGGTCACTTGTCCACTTCCATCGGCGTCGATCCGCTGAAAAATGTGCTCCAAAAATTTTTGGTCTGCTGCATGGTTGTATTCCATCTCCTCCGCCAAGTTAAGAACATCCCGCTGTCTAGCCTCGGCGAAAGTATCCACCACGACAGCTACCTGATCAGAAGCTTGGGGCACAAACGCGACCGCTCAACAGAGGCTTCTATCACAAGAAGCTTTAAACCATAGAAGGACATCAAGTCTGGCATAAGACCTCATGCACATGCAGCGCTCTAAAGCAACTCGAGCTGACTTGAGCTGAGATGCAATCAGATTGAGAACACCGAAGACGAGTGTCAACAAGGACCCGGCAAAGATGATGGCGGTTAAGGGAAATGCTTCTATGACTGGAACGGCGATTTCGCCCCAGCTGTCACCGGCAATCACCGTCTTGAACAGCAGCAAGTTCGCATGCAAGACTGTGGATGTAGCTCTGAAGCACCTGTCGCCACAGCCTTCTGTCTCTAAAGCATAGGCCAAATCGTCCGTCTTCATGAGAGGGTGGACAACCTCTACGATCAAGAGCGCCCAAATCGTCATGATGATGAACAGAAAGACCAATGACCAACCTAATGTTTTTATACAGGTCGCCATCATCCGCACTAACTTCTGAAGCTCGCGGAATCCGCGCGTCCTCCGCAACAGCCTCGTTAGTCGCAATATCCGCACGAGTCGAAGCATCCGAAACAGGCCAAACTGCTGCAAGAACTGGCCGAACCCTGCATGGTGAAGAATCGTTTCGAGATACCCGCATGCAATGACCACAAGATCGGTTATGACCATCCAGTCCCGCAGAACTTCCAGTCCTTTTGTGGTGAGAAGGCAGATCGTCTCGAGCGAATAAACGAGAAGGCACAAGTCAGCTATAAGCTGCGTTGCAGGTGGAGGATCTTCTGCAGCAGCACGTGCATCCACGTCGATGCAAGTGCAAATAGCATCCGTTAAAACTATGGCTGCCATAAGATTGGCCACTGTCCGGCTTGTGGAGCAGTAAACGGCGATGCCCTTCAGACAACCGCAGAAGCTAGTTGTGTCAGCAGCATATCCATCGTTGAGAGTGGCCGTCTTGGCCTTCACGAACTTGCCTGTCACGGTCGACTTCCTGCGGGGAGATATGTCTTAGATTCAGGCATTGATGCAGGCTGCTGGCCACTTGGGCCACGATCACGTTCGCTCTTGTCTTGTCCTCGTCTTGTCGCCAGATTTGCCCAACTCTGACTTGGAGGATTGGAGCCTGGATGCCAAACTGGCCTCGCTCCTCGTCCTGCCCGTTTTGCAATCACCAGCAACAGGAAGAGTTCATTCTGCCGTCCTGCCGGAGAGCGCCGGAGAGCTCATGGATGGAGAGCATGATGGGGACACTTCACCTCGACTCCGCAATGAAGCTCAAACGACAAGTGAGCCACTGCTATGCTAACGTCTCTAATGAAGCGAGCATCCACTGGTTTGCAGGACACAATCGTCCAGCTGATGCTCCCGTGACATGGCGCATGCGGCGTGCAATGCAACAGCCCTGCTACGCAATTGCAACGCTGCCGGCTATGTGGGACAGCTGCTGTGAGCATGGCTACGGGCAGAAAAGAACGCTTGGAATCTGGTTTGCCGCTGGGCATGAACAACATGCCCTCTCTTCAGTTCGCACTCCTGTGCTATGTCGGCATGCTTGTCGGCGGAAAGCCGCGACATCCTTGCTCGACATTCCTGGCCCAAACATGTGTGCGACTTATGCTGCCAGGCATCTACTCCGGAATTTTTGCCCAGGTCCACCAGATCCTTCTTGGGATCGTGAACGACCTTTCACAAGTGCTAGGGGTGCTCTGGCTCCTGCTTTCCTTCTCCGCGGTCAGGTCTGACGGCGTCTCTGTCTCTATCTAGAATAATTGGCCTACCATCTCTTGCCATCTGAGATGATGGAAAGCTAATAAGAAGATCACTTCGGTGATGACGGAGGGCCTAGCATGACCGGCTCGCAGGGGTAATCGAAAGCCAGTAAACTAGTGGCCGACCGATTGATGGCACAAGCAAGGTCGGGAAAGTGGGGGCACGGCCCCTTTCATGCACGACTCTGTGAGAATGAAAGCCAAACGACCACCGCAGCCAAATTCTCATGGCTGAGCCAGGCTACCGGAGTGGGCGGAGGCGTGGGGGTGTCCTTCAACATCTCTCGAATGGTATGGCTGACATTCTGCAGCGCCTCTGATCCTGACAAGATGCTGTGGCTGGAGGTGAGGTCTGTTGATGCGCAGCATGGCTTTTCTATACCGCTGGCCGCCGGCCCTGTGAACATTCGCGACAAGAGCACCAGTCCTTTGCCATTTATGGCCGTGTCCAGCTCGGTGCAAATCAAGCCCTGCAGCTCACAGGTTAGCAGTGTGGTCCGCTGCCCACAAGTCTGCATATGTCTCGCCAGGAAGCCGTCAAGCGTTTGTTCAGGGCAGACTGGATCAAGGGCTTCAGCCAGTCCAGCACCGAACCTGGGAAGTCGAGCTCGACCTGGCAGTGTGTAAGAAGAGTCTGTTTTGGAGCGGACCCCTGGGTAGATTAGAAATGTGGTGAGAGTCTAACTCAATGATTCACTGTCCAGCTCACATTGTGGCACACTTTGTGGCACGGCTGCAAGCAAAATCGAGGAGCCAGAAGAAGCAGTTGGAACATTTGATAACTTCAACATCTGCACCCTGCATGGTTGAGATCTGTCGTCCGTGACTTCACTACAATCCGAACTGACGGCATCCCACGGAGCTTGCAGTGACGAGCTTCAACATGTCTAGTCCCTACTTGTAGGGCCCAAATCGCATGCACAGGGCAGGATATTGTAGACCCCAGTACCCGCCATGGGTTAACGTCTGCCGGCTACGGTCACGCGGTGCACGATGGCATGCGTATGCATGCGTGCCATGCGCAAGCTGGGCATGCAGGTTTGGCCCTTACTCGACGCGTTGGTGTCCATGGATGTGAAAGAGTTTTCGGGTGGCTTCAAGAAGACGCCGCCGGCTTGCCAGGTGCGTGTCATCATTGTCATCAAGCAGAACACAGGTCGTCAGGTGGCGACAATGTTGAACGGTGGTATGGAGGGCATGCTCGATACACGGAAGCGGAGTTTGCGATGGACTTCCTGAAAACACTAGCTTTCCAGGTGCGCGTCATCAAGCAGAGCGCAGAGGCTGGTCAGGCGAGGGCATCTGGATCATCACATGGAAAGCTGGTGCGCTTCACCTGATGAGATTGCGTTTTTGGGCACGAGTCAGACGCTGTGAAAGTTGGCCACGTGGAACATTGGTAAGATGCTGGCTTTCCAGGTGCGCATCACCAAGCAAAGCAGAGACTCGTCGGTGCATCTGGATCATCAAACTGTAAGCTGGCAACACTGCAGCTCCTACGGAGAGGGGTTATGCACACACGACGAGGTGTTGGATCTCATGACCCTGGCTCGGCATCCTGACTTAGCAGTTCCTGCGCAAGCGAGTGCAAGACCGATTTTCCTTGAGTGTGGAAGTCCTACGGCTTTCATGCTGCTGTTATATCGCAGTTGCGTTGATGTCCCTAATATCACCTTGACGAAGGTTTTTGAGACTCTGGGTATGTTAACTGTGTAGGGATGGCCTCATCCGATACCCATGAGGAAGATCCCGCACGTCTCAGGTGCGCTGCCGTTTCACCCCATTTGGAGTGTACTTTGTCTGGTGCTTTGATAGCCGACTACGGAATGCAAAGCATGTTGGAAAGAACCTTCTGGTGACCGCCTGCTTGGCCGCCAGCTCATGCTTTCATGGTCGATTATGTAGCCTCTATGGTTTTGAACTTGACTCTCTGTGGCTCTTCCTCCGTTCTGTTTGATCACTCTAGTGAGCGCATACTGGGGATTGCACATTTTGGCAGCACCATTTTTTGCTTCGGTACTCCATGGATTTGCCCGGGGCGCAGTCGCTTTGCCGCTTTGCTTTCAGCAGCCATGCCAAGAAAACAACCACCCGATTCGTTTGGCAGCACAATCACTCAAGAATGTATTTTCTTGCGAGGCGTGCGTCTGATCCAGACTCTATCTCATAACGAGTCCCTATTTGTACCAGGACTAGCATGTGGAGCTTATGTCAACGAAATCGATCGGACGTGCAGACTGCGACAACAGAACGGCGGAGGCGAGTACAAGCCCACAGCTCATACAGCTCGCAGCCTTAATGCTGCCAGCGCAGTCTTTTGCTTTGATGGCTGTAGGCAGCGGGGGCTGAAGGCTGTCTGCCACCTTAAGTGCAAGATGCCACTCTGGCCAGGCCTATCTACATCGGCCGATAACAACTCAGAAAGAACTGGGCTTCTCGCAATTGTGAGGGGTCCGCCAAGTACGCCATCTTTCACCTGTGCCACAACCTGAGCCCGACTGGTCGGAAGGCAGATGAAGGCGTTCCGTACTCCCATCCTGCACGTTTCGCTGCGCTTCCTCTTTGATCATGCTAAGCCTCAAGCATCGCCATCGAAGTGCAACGAACTGATCATGGTGGACTGTGCATTCCAGTGCAGCGTGCAATGGATGCTCAAGCCGGAAGCCTTGGGGAATCCAAGATCTCTGAGCTTCCGCACTTGTGCTTCGCAGCACGGGACGTGTATTGTAGAATCAACACGAAGTGAACGAGCAAACACACTGACTAAAACGAAAACCAAACTCCATAGCTGGATTTGCCTAAGCAGCTGTGATGTTCAAGCCACCATACACTGCTGCGGTGTGAACGTGCACCAGCGCGAAGTTGGTACACAGCCCATTCGATATCGTGAAATTGAAGCCACCTAGGCAACAAGCTCTTGCAAGCCGCTGCAGAATGCAACGTGGGCTCGGGCACACCTCGAACGTCAGAGAACGCCGGAATCTGAACTCGAAGGTTCCACAGCCATTTCTCCAGCCAGCTCCTTTGGCGAGCATAGCTGGGGATCGCTGCAAACAACTGAACTGCTTTTTGAAGAGTGACATACATTGATCCAAAGGCACTGAGACCGCACCATGCTTAGGAGTTCCAGCCCTCCGGTGACCGTCTCAATGAACCTTTTCCTCGCTGACCAGGGCGAGTTCGGTTGGTCTGAAAATCTAACGTGGAGAATCTGCCCGAAGCTGTCTCTGCATGATTCGTCAATGCAAGCCGCACAGGTCCTATGCCAGTGTTTCGAACATGCGTTCGTGCTTCTTTGATTGCCACGGCCACGACAACACAAGATCGCCGAACCCAAACCCATCTTACCATGCGCCAAACGTTTCGATGAGCTAAGCCAATGTGTAGCTGCCAGTCCAGGATGCTTGAGAACTTCTGATTGCAGGCCGATGTCTGAGTTGCATCATCATCAATGAATGCCTTCTCGATTGCCTTGGTCAGGCATCACTGATCCACCCGCTGCTCGCTCGTTCGCGCGCACAAGCGGCCGCGGAGAAACACGGGCCGGTTGCACATGACAAGGTACAGCTTCTCCAGTGACGACATGTGGAGCCAGCGCACTTTGTGACACTCTCGCGTCCCAGAGCAGGCACGACCTAGGCCCAACCGAGAACCGCGGACCGTCATTCAGCTGCAGCTTTATAATTCGGACCCGAAATACCTTAACCATATGAAACAATTCAAATCCGAAATACCTTAACCATATGTGAGGAACAAGTTACAGTCATGAAGGGAACAAGTTGCGGTCCACGGATGCTGTCTGTTACTGTAGCTTCTCACCCTCAAATCATGGTTTTGTCGTTTACCCCAAGCAGCCACCGGAAATAAGGCTGAAGCCATACGGAGAAGGGTTTGGGGGTCTGCAGTGGAGTTTTAGGGGCTTGTGGTCGTTTTTCCTCCACTGTGTGGGCGGGTGTGGGTGGGTGTGGGTGGGTGGGGGTGGATGTGGTGGGGGGGGATGTGGTGGGGGTGGATGTGGTGTGGGTGGGGGTGGGTGGGTGTGTGTGGGTGGG